ATTTCCATGAAACACCTTCAATAACGATACATTTCACTTATCCAAAATATTTTTATAAAATAACATCACCAATGAATGGGTCATACTCTTCTTGATAAGATGTGCTAAGATACCATTTCATTTATATGGTATTCCTGCCAGAAATGCATAACCTGAACTTTATCAAGAAAAAATATCAGACGAACCCAAACTGAAAAACATTATAGAAAATAAATGACCTGGACTCTTCAAAATTGTTAAAATCATAAAAGATTAGGATTGAAAAACTATTCCTACTCATAGGAAGCTAAAGAGACATAACAACTAAGTGCAACAATGATCCTAGACTGGATCCAAAACTAAGAAAAAATTTGTTTTTTGCTATAAAGGACATTAGTGGAACAACTGGCAAAATTGAATAAACTCTGTAGATTAAATAACAATACTGTTAACTTCCTGATTTTGATTATCATATGGCAGTTATGTTAAGAGAATTACACTGCTTTTATGAAGTTCACACTAAGTATTTATGGGTAAAGAAGCATTAGGTCTACAATGTATCTCAAAGGGTTCAGAAAAAAAATGTATAAGTATATTAGAAATAAAATGATAAAGCGGACATAGCAAAAGAACAAAATTTGGGTGAAACGTATTTAAGAATCCTTTGTACTATTACTGAACATTTCATTAAGCCTAAGAGTACTTCAAAACAAAATGTCTAAACACAAAAGTAGTGGGAGAAAAAAGGAAATGTGGCAAATAACCATATGAAAAGACACTAAATATCATTAGCAATCAGGAAGAAATGCAAATTAAAACCACAATGAGATGCCACTAAATCCCTTTTAGAATAACTAAAATATAAAAGCAAAAAAGAAAAATTTGTCAATACCAAGTGCTGGTGAGAATGTGGGGCAACTCAAACTCTCAAACATTTTTGGAGGGAAGGCAAAATGGTAGTCATTTTGTAAGAAACTTCCCAATTGTTTTCCAAAGTTAAATATACACTTACCACATGACCCAATAATCCTAAGTATTAATCCAAGAGAAGTTAAAACTTTCATATAAACAAAACCTTCATGTAAATATCTGTAGCAACTTATTCATAATCACCAAACACTGAAAACAACTCAAATGTCTATGAACCGGTAATGGATAAACTGTGGTACGTTCCTATAATGGAATACTATTTAGCAATAAAAAGGAATGAATTATTGATACATCTAACAACATGTTTGAATCTCAAAAGCATTAAGTTAAATGCAAGAAGTCAGTCTCAAAGATTGCATGTTGTATTATTCCATATACATACACAACATTCTGCAAAAAACAAACTACAAGGGTGAAAATTGGTCAGTAGTTGTCAGGTGCTAAGGATGGGGCAACTTAAAAATAGGCAGCATGATAGAATTTTGGGGTGTTGATATAACTGCTCTGTGTCTTGATTGTTTTCATTATATAATTTTATGCATATATAAAACTTACAGAAACATAATTAGACTAAAAAATGAATTTTACTGTACATAAACTTTGCGAACAGATATTTTTAAGTTCACAAGGAAAAAATTACAGTCATAGACAGCTCATTTTATTATCAGCCCAATAAAGACTACACAGGTACTATTACTCTCATTTTATCAGTGAGGAAACTGAAGTAAATAAATTAACATACAAATTATACATAGCAGGACCAAAAGTGTAGTCCAAATATATTGATTCTATACAAATGTTTTCTTCTCTTAATTTTCTCATGTCCCACTAAACATTATGGGCCACACTGTCCCTGAAGATAGGATCAAAGGGAGAGAAGGAAGGAAAATAGACAGGTTATTGGAAGTATGCCCTTTAGAATCTGACCTTTGTCCTCAAGGAATTAAAAATAGTTCAAAATTAAAGAAGTCTGAATAGTGATTCATATGGGCAACAAATTGGCATTAAGGATTAGCTGGTGACTTCTTCCATAAAACCTTCTTAAATTAATTTCCTAATGCAAGAAAAAAGCAAAAGCAAACATAACATATGCACTGGTAACCTTGTAACTATTGCCAACAAATTAAGCTATACCTGATCTTCAGGACAACACTGAGAACAACAACAATGATGGTGACCACAGTTCAAAACAGATTTTACAACTTTATATTAACATTTAAATATAGTGCTAGATGTCATCACCCAAGGGTGGAAAACAAGGGGGGAAACATTTAAAAATACTGTTTTGGTTTTAGAATCTTTTTTTTTTTTTATTATTTGCCAAAGAACCTATTATATGGGCAACAGCATGGGAGGAAATTAAAATTAGTTTCTTCAGCGAAAAATAAATAAAATAAGAAATAGCATCTATACCACAAATAGCACACCTCACCTAAAAACAGTGGTGTGGTTTCTTCTAAAGTAGTTGCGTTAGGATCTGCCCCAGCTTCTAAAAGAATTTGTATGATTTTCCAATGTCCTTGACTTGCAGCAAGATGTAACGCAGAGAAGCCTTCAAACGTCTTTATCTTAATGTAGTTTTCAGATGAATCTAAGTAAAAAGAAAAGAAAAAAACCCATCAACTAGAAGGTATCACTTTTATCTCTTAGAGTTAAAAAACAAAAAGATCCCAAGAAGAATTTAATGAAATATTAAAATATAATTATAAATGGAAAGTCTCCTGGTTTAAAACTCTTTAGAAAAATCATGTGTCACAGTGTGAACAGCTCTCTCTCATTCTTAACACACAAATTCTGCCCACACACTGATTCTCTGTTCTCTAATTTTTGATGGCTTGGGGAAGGGGAGTGGCAGGAGTTGAAAGTAACAAAAAGCAACATCTGAAGGGGATACAGCACCAAAGATTTGCTTAAGCAAGATTTACTGAAATATTAACAAACTGATTTTTTTATTTCTAAATTTCTGAGGGAAATGGTCTCATCTCTAGCATTAATTTCTTGTATTCAACTAATAAAGTAAAGACACTTCAAAAAACTCCTTCTCTGTCTTAACAGTTAGTTTATTATTTCTAAAATAATAAAATATACTCCAAAGAAATCAAATAGTCACACACAATTTATAAGAAACTTAAGAGTTAATTTACTTTAAGGTTTCTGGGGTTTATTTGTTATGAAAATTTCAAGGTTTGTAACATTCAAATTATGTAAAAAAAAGTCTACATTAAAATTTTTGTGGCTCCATAGCAAAATATAGCATTGAAAAGTGACTTTCTTACCTTTGCTTCCAAAACAACAAAATACCAAATCCACAATAAAAAATGGGGCTGTAAGGTGTATGATGAAGGTATTTCTGATGGTAGTAATTAACAAAAACAAAAATTTAATAAATTTTAAAACTTTAAACATATTTTCTTGAAATGACAGCACTAAAACTAATGTTCCTGACTAAAGTAATCATGTTTTAAATGATTCTTATAATTGCAACTCACTGATGAAGGTGAAAAACTAAGCCATAATAATATTCAAATAAGAGCTTGTAAGTATACTAAAAGAAAACAGCCTTAAACAATAAGATGTACAACTAAGCTGCAATATAGGGTAGTTATAAAGTTCATATCACAAAAACAGTGCTTCCCAGATTATTCAGAAGCTGACCTTTACTCATATATACACAAAACTATAAGGTTAAAAAATAGCGACAGACTCACAGACTCCAAGAAGGGACTAGCAGTTACCAAAGGGGAGGGGTAGGGGAGGACAGGTGGGGAGGAAGGGAGAAGATTAAAACTTTCATATAAACAAAACCTTCATGTAAATATCTGTAGCAACTTATTCATAATCACCAAACACTGAAAACAACTCAAATGTCTATGAACCGGTAATGGATAAACTGTGGTACGTTCCTATAATGGAATACTATTTAGCAATAAAAAGGAATGAATTATTGATACATCTAACAACATGTTTGAATCTCAAAAGCATTAAGTTAAATGCAAGAAGTCAGTCTCAAAGATTGCATGTTGTATTATTCCATATACATACACAACATTCTGCAAAAAACAAACTACAAGGGTGAAAATTGGTCAGTAGTTGTCAGGTGCTAAGGATGGGGCAACTTAAAAATAGGCAGCATGATAGAATTTTGGGGTGTTGATATAACTGCTCTGTGTCTTGATTGTTTTCATTATATAATTTTATGCATATATAAAACTTACAGAAACATAATTAGACTAAAAAATGAATTTTACTGTACATAAACTTTGCGAACAGATATTTTTAAGTTCACAAGGAAAAAATTACAGTCATAGACAGCTCATTTTATTATCAGCCCAATAAAGACTACACAGGTACTATTACTCTCATTTTATCAGTGAGGAAACTGAAGTAAATAAATTAACATACAAATTATACATAGCAGGACCAAAAGTGTAGTCCAAATATATTGATTCTATACAAATGTTTTCTTCTCTTAATTTTCTCATGTCCCACTAAACATTATGGGCCACACTGTCCCTGAAGATAGGATCAAAGGGAGAGAAGGAAGGAAAATAGACAGGTTATTGGAAGTATGCCCTTTAGAATCTGACCTTTGTCCTCAAGGAATTAAAAATAGTTCAAAATTAAAGAAGTCTGAATAGTGATTCATATGGGCAACAAATTGGCATTAAGGATTAGCTGGTGACTTCTTCCATAAAACCTTCTTAAATTAATTTCCTAATGCAAGAAAAAAGCAAAAGCAAACATAACATATGCACTGGTAACCTTGTAACTATTGCCAACAAATTAAGCTATACCTGATCTTCAGGACAACACTGAGAACAACAACAATGATGGTGACCACAGTTCAAAACAGATTTTACAACTTTATATTAACATTTAAATATAGTGCTAGATGTCATCACCCAAGGGTGGAAAACAAGGGGGGAAACATTTAAAAATACTGTTTTGGTTTTAGAATCTTTTTTTTTTTTTTTATTTGCCAAAGAACCTATTATATGGGCAACAGCATGGGAGGAAATTAAAATTAGTTTCTTCAGCGAAAAATAAATAAAATAAGAAATAGCATCTATACCACAAATAGCACATCTCACCTAAAAACAGTGGTGTGGTTTCTTCTAAAGTAGTTGCGTTAGGATCTGCCCCAGCTTCTAAAAGAATTTGTATGATTTTCCAATGTCCTTGACTTGCAGCAAGATGTAACGCAGAGAAGCCTTCAAACGTCTTTATCTTAATGTAGTTTTCAGATGAATCTAAGTAAAAAGAAAAGAAAAAAACCCATCAACTAGAAGGTATCACTTTTATCTCTTAGAGTTAAAAAACAAAAAGATCCCAAGAAGAATTTAATGAAATATTAAAATATAATTATAAATGGAAAGTCTCCTGGTTTAAAACTCTTTAGAAAAATCATGTGTCACAGTGTGAACAGCTCTCTCTCATTCTTAACACACAAATTCTGCCCACACACTGATTCTCTGTTCTCTAATTTTTGATGGCTTGGGGAAGGGGAGTGGCAGGAGTTGAAAGTAACAAAAAGCAACATCTGAAGGGGATACAGCACCAAAGATTTGCTTAAGCAAGATTTACTGAAATATTAACAAACTGATTTTTTTATTTCTAAATTTCTGAGGGAAATGGTCTCATCTCTAGCATTAATTTCTTGTATTCAACTAATAAAGTAAAGACACTTCAAAAAACTCCTTCTCTGTCTTAACAGTTAGTTTATTATTTCTAAAATAATAAAATATACTCCAAAGAAATCAAATAGTCACACACAATTTATAAGAAACTTAAGAGTTAATTTACTTTAAGGTTTCTGGGGTTTATTTGTTATGAAAATCTCAAGGTTTGTAACATTCAAATTATGTAAAAAAAAGTCTACATTAAAATTTTTGTGGCTCCATAGCAAAATATAGCATTGAAAAGTGACTTTCTTACCTTTGCTTCCAAAACAACAAAATACCAAATCCACAATAAAAAATGGGGCTGTAAGGTGTATGATGAAGGTATTTCTGATGGTAGTAATTAACAAAAACAAAAATTTAATAAATTTTAAAACTTTAAACATATTTTCTTGAAATGACAGCACTAAAACTAATGTTCCTGACTAAAGTAATCATGTTTTAAATGATTCTTATAATTGCAACTCACTGATGAAGGTGAAAAACTAAGCCATAATAATATTCAAATAAGAGCTTGTAAGTATACTAAAAGAAAACAGCCTTAAACAATAAGATGTACAACTAAGCTGCAATATAGGGTAGTTATAAAGTTCATATCACAAAAACAGTGCTTCCCAGATTATTCAGAAGCTGACCTTTACTCATATATACACAAAACTATAAGGTTAAAAAATAGCGACAGACTCACAGACTCCAAGAAGGGACTAGCAGTTACCAAAGGGGAGGGGTAGGGGAGGACAGGTGGGGAGGAAGGGAGAAGAGGACTGTGGGGTATGATGATTAGTACACATGGTGTGTGTGGGGTCACGGGGAAGACAGTGTAGCACAGAGAAGACAAGTAGGGACTCTGTGGCATCTTACTAGAATGATGGACAGGGACTGCAATGGGGTATGGGGAGGAACTTGATAATAAAGGTGAATGTAGTAACCACATTGTTTATCTTGTGATACCAATAAGAGTGTATACCAATGAAACCTTAGAAAAAAAAAACTATAAGGTTAAGACATGAAAAACAATGAACACACAGATATATATATAGATACAGATAGCTCCTAAATGGGAAATTTCAATTATTATAAAGATGTTGGTTCTTCCCAAACTAATAAATAAATTTATTAAAATTCTAATATAAATGCCAATAAAGTGTACTGTTGGTTGGTTGGCTGGTTGGTTGTATGCTGGTAAAGTGATTCAAGTTGACAGGGACTGAGGACAGCAGGGAAAAGTAACAAAGAATTTAGAAAAATAAATAAGGGAAGTATTAAGGAGAACCCAGACTGACTTACAGACAGTAGGTGAAAAGTCAGCCAGAAACCTCCTCCCAAAACCACACAATATGAAAATACAGCAAATACAACTAATGCTGAAAGAGCAAATAGAATGAAGACTGTAGAACAGACTGTCTACATCTGGGGAAAAGAGAAGACCTAACGGAAAAGGGTAAAGTAGCAAAGCTGTGATCCAGCAGAACCAAAGCCCTCCCCCTACCCCAGCTTACTGTTGGGAAGAAGAGGAATGGAACAGGGAGGGGGTAGAAGCCTAAGACTGCTGAACACTCAGCTGGGGAGACTGTCTCCAGGATCATGAACCTCATTACATGGTGCTCTGGAGATTAGTGGTGTTGGAAAGCAAGGAAAGGCAGAATACTTGGAGAGACTGAGATTCCAGCCACCTGTGGAGAACAGGTACCCACAACTAGCTGCTCTGGGACAAAAGAAAGGCAGGCACTTTGAAAGATTTCCCAATAGCCAGAGGGCTACTAAAGGGGGAAGTATCACACAGAGATTGCTGCTCAAAAGAAAGAACAGGCGAACAAAATAAAAACTGTCCTAGCACACTCAGTCCAGCAGGTTGGTAACTTTTAGGAGCTTCAGGCACTCCATCTCCCTGGCTGGCGACATGCACTGAGGCACTCCGCCTGCCGCTCCATCTCCTGGCAGGCATCAGTTCGCAGACCTGCTACCCCAGCCATCACACCAGGCCACCCAGAGAGCAGCCCCACCAAAGGCAGATACAGGGGCGTAACACAGAGGCTCATCCCTGCGCACTCGGCCCACTGGCCCTGGCAGTGGAGGAAGGCAGTACAGCTGGGAAGTAGTAAAGAGCTCTTTCCTCTGGCAGGCACGGGTGCTGCTCACTCAAAACCACTGTCATTGCTCCAGGGGCTGGGCAGCTCCAGAGAATAAAGCTTCTGGGCACTAGAGGGCGCCACCTGCACAAAGTTATTACTCCATATTATTCATTAGGAATATGAAGCAGAAAACCTTGTTTAAACCAAAATCCCTCATCAAACACCTGAAAGAGGGCTAAGTGAAACTGAAATCACCAACCTTCTTGATAAAGATTTCAAAATAAAAGTCATAAACATGCTCATGGAGCTACAGAAAAATATTCAAGATCTCAGGGAAGGTTTCAAGAAAGAGACAGAAACTTTGAAAAAGGCAGTATCTGAAATGAAACATACAATGGAGGGATTTAAAAGCAGATGAGATAAGATACAGGAGACAGTAAATGAAACAGAAATTAAAGAACAGGAATACAAACAACCTGAAGCACAGAGAAAAAGAGATCTCTAGGAATGAAAGGATATTAAAAGAACTGTGTGACCAATCCAAAAGGAACAATATTCGCATTAAAGGGGTATCAAGAGAAGAACAGAGAGAAAAAGGGACAGGAAGTGTCTTTGAAGAGGTAATTGCTGAAAACTTCCCCAGTCTGGGGAAGGAGATAGCCTTTCAGGCCATGGAGGTCCACAGATGTCCCAACACAAGGGACCCAAGGAAGACAACAAAAAGATATATAATAATTAAAATGGCAAAGATCAAGGACAACAAAAGAGTATTAAAAGCAGCCAGAGAGAGAAAAAATATCAAATATAAAGGAAAACCCACCAGGCTATCATCCTGAGGTCAAAGACCTATACCCTGAAAACTATAAGACACTCATGAGAGAAATTAAAGAAGACACCAATAAATGGAAATACATCCCATGCTCATGGATAGGAAGAATTAATATTGTCAAAAAGGCCATCCTGCCTAAAGCTATCAACAGATTCATTGCAGTCCCTATCAAAATACCAACAGCATTCTTAAACGAACTATAACAAATAGTTCTAAAATTCATATGAAACCACAAAAGACCCCAAGTAGCCAAAGAAATCCTGAGAAGGAAGAATAAAGCTGGGGGGATTATGCTCCCTAACTTCAAGCTCTATTACAAAGCCACAGTAATCAAGACAATTCGGTACTGGCACAAGAACAGAGCAATAGATCAACGGAACAGAATAGAGAACCCAGATATAAACCCACACATATATGTTTAATTAATACATGATAAAGAAGCCATGGATAGACAATGGTGAAATGACAGTTTCCTCAACTGGTGTTGGCAAAACTGGGCAGCTACATCTAAGAGAATGAAACTGGATTACTGCCTAACTCCACACACAAAAGTAAACTCGAAATGGATCTAAGACGTAAATATAAGTCATGAAACCATAAAACTCTTAGAAGAAAACATAGGCAAAAATCTCTTGAATATAAACATGAGCAACTTTTTCCTGAACACATCTCCTTGGGCAAGAGAAGCAAAAGGAAAAATGAACAAATGGGACTACATCAAACTAAAAAGCTTCTGTACAGCAAAAGACACCATCAGTAGAAGAAAAAGGCACCCTACAGTATGGAAGAAATATTCATGAATGACATATCTGACAAGAGCTTAACATACAAAATATATAAAGAACTCACACGCCTCAACACCCAAAGAGCAAATAAACCAGTTAAAAAATTGACAGAGGATCTATACAGATGCTTCTCCAAAGAAGAAATTCAGATGGCCAACAGGCACATGAAAAGATGCTCCACATTGTTAATCATCAGGGAAATGCACATTAAACCACAGTGAGATATCACCGCACACCAGTAAGGATGGCCAGCATTGAAAAGACTAAAAACAACAAATGCTGGCAAGGATGCGGAGAAAGGGGAACCCTCCACTGCTGGTGGCAATGTAAGCTAGTTCAACCACTGTGGAAAGCAATATGGGGGTTCCTCAAAAAACTAAAAGTAGAAATCCCATTTGACCCAGGAATTCCACTCCTAGGAATTTACCCATGGAATATACAAGTTCTCAGATTCAAAAAGACATATGCACCCCCACATTCATCACAGCACTATTTACAGTAGCCAAGATATGGAAGCAACCTAAGTATTCATCAGTAGATGAATGGATAAAGAAGATGTGGTACATATACACAATGGAATACTATTCAGCCATAAGAAAGAAAAAAAAATCCTACCATTTGCAACAGCATGGATCGAGCTGGAGGACATATGCTCAGTGAAATAAGCCAGGCAGAGGACAAGTACCAAATGATTTCCCTCATTTATGGAGTGTAACAACGAAGCAAAACTAAAGGAACAAAATAGCAGTAGTATCACAGACTGCAAGAAGGGACTAGCCATTACCAAAGAGGAGGGGTGGGGTTGGGCAGGTGGGGAGGTAGGGAAAACGGGATTGAGGAGTATCATGACTGGCACACATAGTGTGTGGTGAGGATCATGGGGAAGAGAGTGTAGCATAGAGAAGGCAAATAGTGACTCTGTGGTATCTAACTACACTGATGGACAGTGACTGCAATGGGGTATGGGGGGTGCTCAATAATATGGGTGAATGTAGTAACCACATTGTTTTTCAAGTGAAACCTTCATAAGAGTGTATATCAATAACACCTTAATAAAAAAAATAAAAAGGGCACAGAATCTGAACAGACACTTCTCCAAAGAAATTCAGATGGCCAACAGGCACATGAAAAGATGCTCCACATTGCTAATCATCAGGGAAAACGCAAACTAAAACTACAATGAGATATCCCCTCATACCAGTTAGGATGGCCAACATCCAAAAGACAAACAACAACAAATGTTGGCAAGGATGCAGAGAAAGGGGAACCCTCCTACACTGTTGGTGGGAATGTAAATTAGTTCAACGACTGTGGAAAGCAATATGGAGGTTCCTCAAAAAACTGAAAATAGAAATACCATTTGACCCAGGAATTCCACTCCTAGGAATTTAACCAAAGAAAACAAGATCCCTGATTCAAAAAGACATATGCACCCCTATGTTTATTGCAGCACTGTTCACAATAGCCAAGATATGGACACAACCTAAGTGTCCATCAGTAGATGAGCGGATAAAGAAGAGGTGGTACATATATACAATGAAATACTATACAGCCATAAGAAAACAAATTCTACCATTTTGCAAAACATGGATGGAGCTGGAGGGTATTATGTTCAGTGAAATAAGCCAGGCAAAAAAAGACAAGTGCCAAATGGCTTCACTCATTTGTAGAGTATAACAATAAAGCAAAACTGAAGGAACAAAACAGCAGCAGACTCACAGACTCCAAGAGACTAGCATTACCAAAGGGAAGGGGGTGGGGAGGATGGGTGGGAAGGGATGGAGAAGGGGATTAAGGGGTATTATGATTAGCACATACAATGTAGGGGGAGCACAGGGAAAGCAGTATAGCACACAGAAGACAAGTAGTGACTCTACAGCATCTTACTACGCTGACAGACAGTGACTGCATTGGGGTGTTTGAGGAGGACTTGACAATATGTGTGAATGTAGTAACCCCAATGTTGCTCATGTGAAACCTGCATAAGATGTATATTAATGATACCTTAATAAAAATAATAATAATAATAATAATGCACAAGCAGTTACTTTATGGTTATAGGAAGGGAAACAAATACTGTTGTTAATAAATTATGTATTAGCATTTTTTAATGTTTTATTCATCCAGCTTTATAGGCCCAACCCCTCATACCTTGAATTTACTTTACCTGCATGAATTAACATCTGCAAACATTCTACAGAGTTGTGATAAGCTGCTTCATGAATTGGCATCCATCCCCTGTTATCAGCTACATTAATGCTACGTCCCTTTTTGAGCAGTTTTCTTAAGACTTTAATGTTTCCTTCCCTGGCAGCAAGTCCAACTGTGGAGCACGTGTGAGAGTAAGCCTCTGTAAAATCCATTCTTTTCACCAGTCTACAAAACAAAGCAGAACGAAAACATTGATGAAACAACACTGCACTTCTAGAGATTAGCAGATAGCAGTGGGCCTGTCTAGCATCTCTCATAGAACTGCTAAGGAAAAACCCAAAGTGGGGAAAGCAACCAGCTAAGCCACAGTCTCTTGGAGAGTATAAACCACAAGGTCTCTATGTTTGGGGAACTGAAATTCCTTGAAATATTCTTATCAAAATTATCAAGTTAGTTTTAAGTGCTCTATCATTTCTTTTCTGGAAATGTTGTCTGCATAGCTCCTTCCTGTTCATACCTCACCAAAATGCACTTCATGTTTATAAGAGAGCTAAACATCTCCAGTTAACCCCACACCTGTGCTCTATTATGCAAAGATGGCCATTTAACTACTAGCAATGCTCAGCCTCAAGAATTAACTTACTGGCCTCTCTAGGAAAAAGCTAAACCCCAAAAGGTTAGAAAAAAGGAGTAAAGGACATTTATTGAAAAGAACAAATATAAGTAGTAATTCTAGTCCTAGTCTTCCTGCCCCTACTGCTTCTTTCCAGAAGGAGCTAAACACTAAAGTTCTCTTTCCATGATAGAAGTCACATTGGATATACTAAAATGAACAGAGTATCATTAAGTTGAGTCTAGCTTTCCTGTACAAGCCCAGCAACACCTCTACAGCCTATTGTCCTCTTCCTCATTACCTCCCTTCAAAGTTCATTTCAAATTCCTCTGGAGCTAGGGTCCAGCATAACTCTCAGTGCATGACTCTCACAAAGACAATTTCTTATTAGTCACATTATGAGGAAGTTTAGGATAATTCAGTATTCAGTAGAATATTTATCTCCCAAGAAGTAGTACTCTCTTTCAGTAATACCTCGATCCCATTCTTCCTCTTTGTTTTTCTAATGATCTTATGAGGTCATTCATGAAATGTCAACAACATTATCCAGTTCAATACAGATGAGAAATTTTCTAGAACCACATTCTAAATAATTATCCATAAAAGGAAAGTTTGAGGAAAGAGGTTAAAAGAAAGCATGCAGTATTTCCTGTAGTAAATTTAAACTTATCCATAGTCACACTGAAATATAAAACTGTACCTACAGTAGTTGATTCTGTAATGACCCAAATAACTAATGTTGGCTATGGATTAATCTGATTAGTCCACTACTAAGAAAGTGAAGCTATTTATTATATAACATTCAATTATTCAGTTAACATTTATTTACTGAGCACTAACTAGATGATCAGCAATGTGGAGGATATAAGGATGACACATAGATTCCATCTCACATCATGTATAGTCTCATAGCAATGATAAATACATATGATTCAAAATAAAAAGTAGAAGTACCATAAGAGAAGTTCAGATATAGCCATGGGTAATCAAAAAAGGGAGAAATTACTTCAACTTGTGAAAGACAGGAGCTGGCCCTTAAAGGATAGGGAGGATTTGACAATGAGACAACCAGCAGGAGAGCATTCTTAGGCCAAAGGAAAACATAACCAAAATTATGTAAATGAACAAACAAGGGTGAATAAGGGACGATGAATAAAGGAAGCAATTAGTTCTCTTTGGTAGGAAGATTAAGTAAACAGAGAACAGCAGGCAAGTTAAGTTACAGAGGTAGACAAAGGCCAACTGTGGAAAATCTTGAATGCTAAGCTATACTTCTTGAACCATGATAACTTCTAGCCACCACCATTATATCCAAGTATCACAGAAAAGAATAAATTACACATTTCAGGGCAATTTATAAGAGTATTCATCTATTAAAGAGTAATTTTTTTCTATATAGGAAAAAAAAAAACACAAACATGCCCAAGAATACTATTCTGAAGACATGAAAAACAACATTCTAGTGAAAACAGGTATGAATCCCTTTCCAAATTTTACTGGCTTTTCTGACAGATACAAGTAATGTTAATGTATCCAGATTAATAGGTAGTAACTTGGATAAATTATCAGAACTGGATAATACCTTTGAGCTTCTTAAGGAGGGAAGGAAAAGCCAAAAAGAAATGTATTACAGTATCAGGATCATTCCCTTCAATCCTTAATACCAACTTGTTAACATAAATAAGCTGCTTATAAGATCTCCTTTTATTAAAAACCTATGTTCTAGACTACAAGAGAGTATAAATAATCAAGTATGACTGATAAACTTCAACTGGAACCTGGACTGGTGAAAAAGAAAT